GTCTGTCCTCCGTCCGTCGGGGGTGAGTGTGCTCTTGGCACGGACGTCCTTGAGGACAGACAGGAGGAGTTTGAGTGCTTTGCCGCTGCATTACCTCATCTCGTGTCCATGCTGCTTGCCCCTGAGGGAAACCCGGATGCACCAGACATCCCGACCCCGCGCTCTTACGCAGAGGCGATAGAGGGTCCGTACTCCTCTCAGTGGAAGACAGCCATGGACGCAGAGATGGCTTCCTGGAAGTCCACATGCACCTACGTCGACGAGGTTCCCCCACCTGGGGCGAACATCGTCAGTGGCATGTGCATCTTCAGGGTGAAGCGGCCGCCGGGTTCTCCACCTGTCTTCAAGGCGCGTTGCGTTGCACGAGGCTTCAGTCAGAGAGAGGGAGTTGACTTCTTCCAGACCTTCTCCCCTACCCCGAAGATGACCACTCTTCGGGTACTGCTGCACGTCGCTGCTCAGCGTGACTACGAGCTTCACTCTCTTGACTTCAGCACAGCCTTCCTACAGGGTAGCCTGCACGAGGAGATCTGGCTGCGCCGCCCACCTGGCTTCACTGGGTCGTTTCCTGCTGGTACCCAGTGGAGCCTCAGACGGCCAGTCTACGGTCTCCGCCAGGCGCCTCGTGAGTGGCACGACACACTGAGGACGACTCTTGCGGCTCTTGGGTTTGATCCTTCTACTGCTGACCCGTTGCTGTTTCTACGCACCGACACCTCTCTGCCGCCGTTCTACGTCCTCGTGTACGTCAACGACTTGGTCTTTGCTACTGCTGACACTGAGGGACTCGCCCACGTGAAGTCGGAGCTGCAGAAGAGACACACGTGCACAGACCTGGGTGAGCTGCGCAGCTATCTTGGCTTGCAGATCACCCGGGACAGAGCACAGCGCACCATTACCTTGACTCAGTCACACATGGTGCAGCAGGTCCTTCAGCGCTTCCGCTTCACGTACTCCTCGCCACACTCCACTCCTCTGCCTACTCGCCACTCGCTCTCAGCTCTGCCTTCGGATGAGTCCGTAGAGCCGAGTGGCTCGTATTCAGAGCTTGTGGGCTGCCTCATGTACCTGATGACCTGCACTCGACCTGACCTGGCATACCCTCTTAGCATCCTGGCACGCTATGTTGCTCCTGGGAGACACCGGAAGGAGCACATGGATGCCGCTAAGAGGGTGTTGCGCTACTTGTGCAGTACGTCGGGCATGGGGCTCGTGCTTGGAGGACGGGCTCGAGTTGTCCTCACTGGTCACGCAGACGCTTCCTGGGCTGACGACTTGGCTACGCAGCGGTCGTCACAGGGTTACACTTTCAGCCTTGGCTCCGGTTCTGTTTCTTGGCGGTCTACCCGCTCGTCTTTTGTTCTCAGCTCCAGTTGTGAGGCTGAGATCTACGCAGGGGCCATGGCTGCACAGGAGTTACGCTGGCTCACCTACCTGCTGACCGACTTGGGAGAGCCGCCTCGTTCTCCTCCAGTTCTGTACGTCGACAACAAGGCCATGATTGCCTTGTGTCAGGAGCACAGACTGGAGAACAGGACGAAGCACATCGCTCTGCGTTACTTCCTTGCTCGAGAGTTGCAGCGGCGTGGTCAGCTTCGTCTTGCTTACGTGGTTTTTGGGTCAACACTGCTGATATATTCACCAAGGCATTTTAGCCTTGTGATCATCAGCGTTTCTGTACTGTTTTAGGCCTTGTGCCTACTTGGTCTCACTTGCTCACTTCGTGACTTTGCTTGTACTGTGATCTATATACTTATACCTCCATGCTTACACTTGCTAGGTTGTGATCACTGTACTGCTTGTTCCCATTTACATAACTCTACATGTGAACTGGCCTTGTGGCCATTTGCTTGTGCTCAGAGTGTGTGGTGACTTCGTGATCCACCCTCAGCTTGCTTTGCTTTTCTTGACTGGTCTTGTGACCCCTTGTTCTCCCCCGCTTTGCCTATGGGGGTGTGTCAAACTGTTGTATTATTGTGTAGGCTGTAGGGGTAGCCCATATGGGGTACAAACCAAATTAGGGTTAGTACTTGTATCACATTCCTTCTCAATGTAATCATTCCTGCTCGTTAGTTTCTAACAGTTAGTACAATTTTCTTGCCTGTCCACTAGATTAGGCCATCTACTTTAACAACACTAGGTTCTAACCTTTTAGATCCACATAATCTGGGAGATTTCAGAGATCATGCTCCACCTTGTACCTGCACACAAGCGTGCATACTGACTGAACCGACCCACGCATCATTTTCTCTTTATAAATACACTGAATACTATATATTTTTTGCTTTTCTTTTAAATTATACCATTTCCCACCCCCATACCAGGTTGTAACCTTCAGAATCTATGTAATTCGCCAAATATAGGCATTCCAGTCGTGCATGGTACCTGCACTAGAGGCGCGCATACCGACCAAACTGACCAGCGCATTACTTATGTTTATAGAGATGCAGTTAGTACCATTTTCTTGCCAGTCCACTAGATTAGGCCATCTACTTTAACAACACTAGGTTCTAACATTTTAGATCCACATAATTTGGGAGATTTTAGAGCTCCAGCTCCGCCTGGTACCTGCACATAAGCGTGCATACTGACCGAACCGGCCCACGCTTCATTTTCTTGGTTCACATACAGTGAAAACCACATATTTTTCGATTTTCCTTTACATTATACCATTCCCCACCCCTCTACCAGGTTCTAACATTTTGGATCTATGTACTTCGCCAAATATAGGCATTCCAGTCGTGCATGGTACCTGCGCTACAGGCGCGCATACCGACCAAACTGACCAGCGCATTACTTATGTTTGTAGAGATGCAGTTAGTACCATTTTCTTGCCAGTCCACTAGATTATGTAATATACTTTAACAACACTAGGTTCTAACCTTTTAGATCCACATAATTTGGGAGATTTCAGAGCTCCACCTCTGCCTTGTACCTGCACACGAGCGTGCATACAGACCGAACCGACCCACGCATCATTTTCTCAGTATAGATACAGTGAATACCATATATTTTCCGATTTTCCTTTAGATTATACCATTCCCCAACCCCCTACCAGGTCGTATCCTTTTAGATCTATGTAATTCGCCAAACATAGGCATTCCAGACGTGCATGGTACCTGCATTACAGGCGCTCATACCGACCAAACTGACGAGCGCATTACTTATGTTTGTAGAGATGCAGTTAGTACCATTTTCTTGCCAGTCCACTAGATTAGGCCGTCTACTTTAACAACACTAGGTTCTAACATTTTAGATCCACATAATTTGGGAGATTTCAGAGCTCCAGCTCCGCATGCATGCAAGAATGCATACTGACCGAACCGACCCACACATCATTTTCTATGTATAAATACAGTGAATACCAGGTATTTTTCGCTTTTCCTTTTAATTATACCATTCCCCACCCCCCTACCAGGTTCTAACCTTTTGGATCTATGTAATTCGCCAAATATAGGCATCCCAGTCGCGCATGGTACCTGCACTACAGGCGCGCGTACCGACCAAACTGACCAGCGCATTACTTATGTTTGTAGAGATGTAGTTAGTACCATTTTCTTACCAGTTCACTAGATTAGGTCACCTAATTTAACAACACCAGGTTCTAACCTTTTATATCCACATAATTTGGGAGATTTTATATCTCCTGCTCCGCCTTGTACCTGCACACAAGCGTGCATACTGACCGATCCGACCCACGCATCATTTTCTCTGTATAAATATAGTGAATACCATATATTTTTAGTACTTTGCTTTAAATTATATCATTCCCCACCCCCCTACTAGGTGTTAACCTTTTGGATTTATGGAATTCGCCAAATATAGGCATTCCAGTCGTGCATGGTACCTGTGTCAAGTCTACCCCTAAACCCTAAAAAAAAACGTTCTCACGAGGGAACCTGCTCAGAATACCATGTCAAAATGAGAAGGAACGAATGACTGAACTAGAAAGCAGGTGGGTACAAGTAGGAAACCTAAAATTGTTGTACCCTATATGAACTACCCCACTACAGCCTACACAGACTATAGCATATAAGTTTGACATACCCCCATAGGCAAAGTGGGGGAGAACAAGAGGTCACAAGACCGGTCAAGAAAGGCAAAGCAAGCTCAGGGTGGATCACGACGTCACCACGCATTCTGAGCACAAGCAAATGGCCACAAGGCCAGTTCACATGCAGAGTTATATAAAGGAGAACAAGCAATATAGTGATCACAACCTAGCAAGTCTAAGCATGCAGGTATATGTATAGAGATCACAGTACAAACATAGTCAAGAAGTAAGCAAGTGAGGCACAGTAGGCACAAGGCTTAGAACAGTACAGAAACGCTGATGATCACAAGGCTGAAGTGCCTTGGTGAAGACATCAGCAGTGTTGGCCCGAGTGGCCACGTAAGCAAGACGAAGCTGACCACGCTGCTGCAACTCTCGAGCAAGGAAGTAGCGCAGAGCGATGTGCTTCGTTCTGTGCTCCAGTCTGTGCTCCTGACACAAGGCAATCATGGCCTTGTTGTCGACGTACAGCACTGGAGGAGAACGAGGCGGCTCTCCCAGGTCGGTCAGCAGGTAGGTGAGCCAGCGTAACTCCTGTGCAGCCATGGCCCCTGCGTAGATCTCAGCCTCACAACTGGAGCTGAGAACAGAAGAAGAGCGGGTAGACCGCCAAGAAACAGAGCCGGAGCCAAGGCTGAAGGTGTAACCTTGTGACGACCGCTGTGTGGCCAAGTCGTCAGCCCAGGAAGCGTCTGCGTGACTAGTGAGGACAACTCGAGCCCGTCCTCCAAGCACGAGCCCCATGCTCGACGTACTGCACAAGTAGCGCAACACCCTCTTAGCGGCATACATGTGCTCCTTCCTGTGTCTGCCAGGAGTGGACTGTAGCAAGGAGTACGTGAAGCGGAAGCGCTGAAGGACCTGCTGCACCATGTGTGACTGAGTCAAGGTAATGGTGCGCTGTGCTCTGTCCCGGGTGATCCGCAAGCCAAGATAGCTTGTCAGCTCACCCAGGTCTGTGCACGTGTGTCTCTTCTGCAGCTCCGACTTCACGTGGGCGAGTCCCTCTATCGTCTACGTACACGAGAACATAGAACGGCGGCAGAGTGGTGTCGGTGCGTAGAAACAGCGACGGGTCAGCAGTAGAAGGAGCAAACCCAAGAGCAGCAAGAGTCGTCCTCAGTGTGTCGTGCCACTCACGGGGTGCCTGGCGGAGACCGTAGACTGGCCGCTGGAGGCTCCACTGGGTACCAGCAGGAAACGACCCAGTGAAGCCAGGTGGGCGGCGCAGCCAGATCTCCTCGTGCAGGCTGCCCTGTAGGAAAGCAGTGCTGAAGTCAAGAGAGTGGAGCTCGTAGTCACGCTGAGCGGCGACGTGCAGCGGAACCCGAAGATTTGTTATCTTCGGGGTAGGAGAGAAGGTCTGGAAGAAGTCAACTCCCTCTCGCTGACTGAAGCCTCGTGCAACGTAACGCGCCTTGAAGACAGGCGGAGAACCCGGCGGCCGCTTCACCCTTGAAATCCACACGCCACTAATGATGTTCGGGCCCAGGTGGGGGAACCTCGTCGAGGTAGGTGCCTGTGGAATTCCAGAAAGCCATCTCTGCGTCCATGGCTGTCTGCCACTGAGAGGAGTAGGGACCCTCTATCGCCTCTGCGTAAGAGCGCGGGGTCGGGATGTCTGGTGCATCCGGGTCTCCCTCAGGGGCAAGCAGCATGGACACGAGATGAGGTAAAGCAGCAGCAAAGCACTCAAAGTCCTCCTGCCTGTCCTCAAGGACGTCCGTGCCAAGAGCACACTCACCCCCGACGGACGGAGGACAGACAGACTCAGACTCAGCAACAAGACTAGCGGCGTAGTCTAGACGACAGGCGGCAGCAAAGTCAACAAGCTCAGCAACTAGAGCAGACGCAGCAGTGGACTCAAATGAAGGGTCACTGACAACAGTGGCCAGGAAACGCGTGACAGTAGGACTAGCAGCACGAAGGGAGTCAGACTCCGGGTCCGGACCGTCAGGAAGAGAGGACGCAGGAGGAGACGGCAGAGGGACACGCTGTGGAGCAGTGGAAGGACGCAGAGTCAAATAGTGAGTGCCAGGGACAGGAGGAGGGCGCTGACGCAGAACACGACCAGTGCGAACAGCGCGAACAGGCGACTCAGGGCGAGACTCAAGGGATGCAGGATGAGACTCAGGCGCACGACGCTCCGTAAGACCTCTAGTCGGTCCAGAGTAAGGAGAAGGACCAGGCAGTGGAGAGGCTGGCTATAACTGCGACTGCGATTGGACAGGCGGTGGACTCAGTAAGGGAGGAGTAGGACCAGTAGAAGACGGGAGGCCAAGAACCTGCTGAAGGAGCGGAACGTAGTACGGTCGCGGCCGCACAGCGCCTCCAGAAACAGCAGAGACAGCACCAGTACCCTGAGCTCCAGGGTCTCTAGCTACAACTCCCGCAGCACCACCAGCTGCAGCACCTCCAACAGCACCAGCTCCAGCAGCACCTCCAGCAGCAACAGCTCCAGCACCTCCAGCTCCAACTCCTGCAGCACCACTAGCCCCAGCACCTCCAGTACCTCTAGTACGAGCACCTCCGGGACCAGCGGCTCCAGCACCTCCAGCAGCTCCAACACCAGCAGGACCTCCAGCAGCGCCAGTACCTCCAAGACGAGCACCTCCGGGACCAGCGGCTCCAGCACCTCCAGCAGCTCCAACACCAGCAGGACCTCCAGCAGCGCCAGGACCTCCAGCACTAGTACCTCCAGGACCAGCGGCTCCAGCAGCTCCAGCACCAGCAGCACCTCCAGCTCCAGAAGCACCTCCAGCAGCAGGCCCCGTAGCTCCAGCAGCACGGCTACAGCGCCGAGCGTACCACTCACGCAGCCGCTGTGGAGAGAGGGGCTCCCGCCGTGACGGGACACCATGAGGACCTCCAGACTCAGCACGCTCAGGCTCAGCACCCCCAGACTCAACACCCCCAGGCTCCACACGCTCAGGCTCAGCACCCCCAGGCTCCGCACCCTCAGACTCAGCAACCCCAGGCTCAACACCCCCAGGCCCCGCACCCGCAGGCTCAGCACCCCTAGCAGCACCAGAGTCGACAGCTACCTCGACGGGCTCGACAGGGTCTACCTGGGACACACCTGAGGGGGCAGGACCCTGAGGGGGGAGGGGGTCTACCGGAGGAGCACCTGGTGCTAGGAAGAGCGGCGGGCGGGGGAGAGGGGCAGTGCGGTAGGGAAAGAGACGGTAGTAAGATACCGACTCGTCAAACGTGACTTCCTGAGAGGACAGAACACAACGCGAGGTGGGGTGGTAGAACTGCCACCCAGGCGCGTGAGGGGGGAAGCCAAGGAAGACGCAGGGAACAGCACGGGAGGACAGCTTGTCCGCGGAAGAATCGCGGACAAAGGCTCGAGATCCCCAGACACGGAACACAGACGCATCGCCAACCTTCCCCGTCCACCGCAGAGTAGGTGTGGTCTCCGGCAAGGAGACACGAGGCTGAAGGTTGATCTGATGCGCAGCGTACTGAACCGCGAACGGCCACAGAAAATGGGGAGCAGCCGCATGGATCATGGACGTACGAGCGACGTCCATGACCATGCCAATGTGGCGCTCAGCAATCCCATTTTGCTGTGGGGAGGCCGGAAGCGTGAACGTCTGGCGGATGCCCTCCGCACGACAGAAAGCCCTCAGAAGGTCGGAGGAAAACTCACCACCCCTGTCTGAGTGCAGACGCAGAACAGGAAGGTCCGAGCCGAAACTCTCGCTGAGCTGGCGACGGGCACCGCGGATCCAGTCGATCAACACCTCAGTGACCTCACCCTTGCGGCGCAAGGGGAAGACTGTGGTGTAACGCGAGTAGTCGTCAACGACCAGCAGGAAGTAACGCTCGTGACCCTGTCCACGGACGCGGGCTGGGCCCCACACGTCCATGTGGAGAGTCTGCAGGGGAGCCTCTGTCGGAGGGAACTCGGAGGAGTGAGGAGCGGCGCGCTGCCGGCCCTCAACACAAGGAACACAGGTAGGGGCCGGCCCCAGAGGAAGGGGAGGGAGGGACCGGGGGAGACCAGAGACAAGGGTACGGGAGGCCATACCTCAAAGATGAGGCAGGGAAGGGTGACCAAGGCGGTGGTGCCAAAGGAGAGTCTGGTGTGACAGAGGACGACACGAGCAGGGGGCAGACGCCGGACTAGACCTGGACGCGGCAGCAAACACCTGACCAGACGCGGCTACCTGACCAGACGCAGTAACAGGAGGAGACGTAGTAGTCAGTGTGTACAGACTCGACCCAGGCCGACGGGTGAACGTGGCCAGGTGGCGGCCCGTCCGAGAGCAAGTGCAGTGGGTCACACGCTGACCTTCAGGGGTGAACTGGTCAACCCACACGTCCTGGAGGTCAGCTCCACTCACCAAGTTCGTAGAGAACGAGGGGAGGTGGAGTCCCGACAGCAAGCCCGACGGGGCCGCAGGACACGGTAAAACCGTGGAGGAGTGCGCAAGGACTGGGCCCCCAGAGGGGTCAGCCAGGGAGACTGCGACCGGCCGACTGAGCGGCGTGAGTGTGGTGCTGTCGCGAAAGAAGGAACGCGAAGCACCGGAGTCAAGTGTGAAGGTGTGCAAGGCCTCAGCAGGCGCAGTACCAGAGAGAGCAGACTCACCAGCACCTGGAGCAGCAGACTCACTAGCACCTAGAGCAGCAGCCTCACCAGCACCTAGAGCAGCAGACTCTATACCTGGGTCAGGCGGGACACACAGGTAACAGGCACCCTCAGCACTAGTAGACAATGCATACATGGGAGTGAGGATAGCATCACAGTCAAGAGCAAAGATATCCACCCTCTGCCTAAGCAGCTCCAGCCAGTCGGGGAGCTCAGCCTCGTCGCCCCACTCGGTACGCCAGGCGTCGCTCAGACAGGCGAAGCAGCGGGACTGCGTGTGACCAACCGTCCCGCAAGTCTGACCAGCCCGCTCACCTGTGCGAATGACGTACGAGCAGCGAACGGTACTCCGAGACCCTCTACTCTGAGCGTACCACTCACGAAGCTGCAGGGGCGTAAGGGTCTCACGCGAGCGCTGCTGCAGCTGCATCTGGCCACTGCCAGAGGCTCCCGACTGACCAGCTCCAGGGCGACTGCCACGACGACCACCGCCACGACACCAACCAGCGTACCACTCACGAAGCTGCTGGGACGTGAGGGACTCTCGCGGACGTCGCTGGAGCTGCATCTGGCCACCGCCAGGAGCAGCAGTAGCAGTAGTAGCAGCAGTAGCAGCAGTAGCAGCAGTAGCAGCAGTAGCAGCAGTAACAGCTGTAGCAGCAGTAGCAGTAGTAGCTCCTAGGGCAGCAACACCTAGGGCTCCTTTTTTTTTATATATAATTATTTATTTATTTAGGGTTTGGCAGGCCGCGCTAGGCGCTGCAGAGGCGGCTCGCGGGCTGCAGGGGTGGCTCGCGGGCTGCAGGGGCAGTGCGCTGGCTGCAAGAGGCAGGCGCGCTGGCTGCAGGGGCGGTTCGCGGGCTGCAGGGGAGGCTCGCGGGCTGCAGACGGGCGGCGCGCGGGCTGCAAGGTCTGCGCGCGGGCGGCTTGCACGGGGTGGCGCGACGGGCAGGGCAGGGCGGCGCAGTGGCCCTAGGGTGACGCGACGGGCAGGGCAGGGGCAGCGCGCGGGCCCTAGGGCGACGCGACGGGCAGGGCAGGGGCGGCGCGCGGGCCCTAGGGCGACGCGACGGGCAGGGCAGGGGCAGCGCGCGTGCCCTAGGGTGACGCGACGGGCAGGGCAGGGGCGACGCGCGTGCCCTAGGGTGACGCGACGGGCAGGGCAGGGGCGACGCGCTTATCAGGAGCGGGTGCAGGGCAGGGCCGCGACGGGGGGTTAGGTCAGGGCCGCAACGGGGCGGCTGTAGGGCAGGGCCGCGACGAGGCGGCAGCAGAGCAGGGCCGCGACGGGGCGGCAGCAAGGCAGGGCCGCGACAAGGCGGCTGCAGGGCAGGGCCGCGACGGGTGGCGGCAGGGCAGGGCCGCGACGGGCGGCGAGGTCAGGGCCGCAACGTGGGGCGGCAGGGCATGGCCGCGAAGGGTGGCTAGGTCAGGGCCGCGACGGGCCGTTAGGGCAGGGCCGCGACGGACCGAGAAGGCAGGGCCGCGACGGGCGGCACTAGGGCAGGGCGCGCGACGGCGCAGGTGAGGCAGGCGCGAGACGCGCTTCGGGCAGGGCAGGAAAAAAAATGTTAATCGTGGTGGACCCTAAAAAAAACGTTCCCACGAGGGAACCTGCTCAAAATACCATGTCAAAATGAGAAGGAACGAATGACTGAACTAGAAAGCAGGTGGGTACAAGTAGGAAACCTAAAAGTGTTGTACCCTATATGAACTACCCCACTACAGCCTACACGGACTATAGCATATAAGTTTGACAACCTGCACTACAGGCGCGCATACCGACCAAACTGACCAGCGCATTACTTATGTTTGTAGAGATGCTGTTAGTACCATCTTCTTGCCTGTCCACTAGATTAGGCCATCTACCTTTACAACACTAGGTTCTAACCTTTTAGATCCACATAATTTGGGAGATTTCAGAGCTCCAGCTCCGCCTTGTACCTGCACGCAAGCGTGCATACTGACCGAACCCACCCACACATCATTTTCTCTGTGTAAATACAGTGAATACCATATATGCTTTCGCGTTTCCTTTTAATTATACCATTCCCCACCCCCCTACCAGGTTTTAACATTTTGGATCTATGTAATTCGCCAAATATAGGCATTCCAATCGTGCATGGTACCTGCACTACAGGCGCGCGTACCGACCAAACTGTCCAGCGCATTACTTATGTTTGTAGAGATGAAGTTCGTACCATTTTCTTGCCAGTCCACTAGATTAGGCCATCTACTTTAACAACACTAGGTACTAACCTTTTAGATCCACATAATTTGGGAGATTTCAGAGCTCCAGCTCCGCCTTGTACCTGCAGACAAGCATGCATACTGACCGAACCGACCCACGCATCATTTTCTTTGTATAAATACAGTGAATACCATATATTTTTCGCTTCTTCTATTAAATATACCATTCCCCACCCCCTTGCCAGGTTCTAACCTTTTGGATCTATGTAATTTGCCAAATATAGACATTCCAGTCATGCATGGTACCTGCACTACAGGCGCGCATACCGACCAAACTGACCAGCGCATTACTTATGTTTGTAGAGATGTAGTTAGTACAATTTTCTTGCTAGTCCACTAGATTAGGCCATCTAATTTAACACCACTAGGTTCTAACCTTTTAGATCCACATAATTTGCGAGATTTCAGAGCTCCAGCTCCGCCTTGTACCTCCACACAAGCGTGCATACTGACCGAACCGACCCACGCATCATTTTCTTTGTATAAATACAGTGAATACCACATATTCTTCGCTTTTCCTTTACATTATACCATTCCCCAGCCCTGCCCTGCGCGCGCGCTGCTCGCTGCCGCGCGCCTTGCCCTGCCCGTGCGCCACTCGCTGCCGCGCGCCCTGCTCTGCTCGCGCGCTGCTCGCCGCCGCGCGCCATGCTCTGCCCGCGCGCCGCTCGCCGCCGCGCCGCGTCGCCCTGCCCGCGCGCTGCTCGCCGCCGTGCGCCCTGCCCTGCCCGCGCGCCGCGCGCCGCTGCGCCGCCCTGCCTGCGCGCCGCTCGCCGCAGCGCCAATGCCCTGCCCGTGCACCGCTCGACGCCGCGCGCCCTGCCTTGCCTGCGCGCAGCTCGCCGCCACGCGCCCTGCCCTGCCCGAGCGCCGCACGCTGTCGCGTCGCCCTGCCTATGTGCCGCTTGCCGCCGCGCCCCTTCCCTGCCCGCGCGCTACTTGCCGCCGCGCGCCCTGCCCTGCCCGCGCGCAGCTCGCCGCCGCGCGCCCTGAGCTGCCCGCGCGCCACC